GTTTTTGAGTTCAAATATCTTCATTTGGGGGCTTTTCCAAGCAAATATTGATATATGTGATTGTTTGTGATTAAATCAGCAGATTTCTGCCACCCCTTAAAGTCTCCATGCCACCCTCTGGCCATGAATATTTATTATGATCTGCCACTGAGACCACCATCTTTCTCTGACCTTAACAAAGTTGAATTATTAGTTGCTATGGGTAATATTGTAGGAAAACAAATAAAAGACATTGTGAGTGAACATTCTGCTGACACATTCATTATCAACATTTTGTAACTGTTAATTAACAGCGTTTCTTCATTATGTTGTAAGAAAACGTAATCCAAGTGGCATTCTGTCAAATGGATTTTCTCACATAATTTCAAGGAGACAGGGTTGGACATTGGCATAGACTGTGTTCATTTATTACTGGTGACTAAAGATGTGGTGGTAGGGTAAACAATGATCCAAAATGTGTACAGTCCTTTTGTTTACACCCTCACCCACCATCAGCCCCACAGGCAAGATAGAATGATCACAAGACTTCACATCATTAATTCTGAGTCAAAACCAAAGGGGAGATACGTCTGTCCGACTGAAGCAAGACAAATAAAATGCCAGAAGTATTAAAAATGTTGCTGCTGACCATGGAACCCCTTAAGAATTTGTTCACCAGGGAATCGTCCCTCATTAATTACATTAGATTGTGATTTAAGCCCAAATGGGGAGAAAAGCAACATTCACAAAGCAGTCCAGAATTACATGTTTAGGTCATGAAAGCTCACAGATGGGAAGTCCTGTTTTTTTCCCCTTTCATGACCTAAATGTTGTTGTTTTCAAAAAATCTAAATCAAATCAAAAAATGCTAGGACCAGCAGTGTTTGTAACGTGTGATTTTCATGCATTTTCACTATTTGCAAGTATTAAAAAGACTTTGATTTAGATCAGTGAAGAGGTTCAAATCAGACTCAAGACAGTACAGTAATACAGTTGTCCTTTATACTACATTGCTAGAGGTTTTTTTAAGATTATATTTTGCCTTTATTGGATATGGACAGTGAAGAGGCAGACAGGATACGGGAGAGAGAGAGGGGATGACATGCAACAGAAGTTGCTGGAATCAAACCTGCGACAGTTGCAACCGTGTGGCCATAGACTTCCTTCTAAACCTCACCCCACAAGAATGGCTTCTTCCCATCTGCTGCTGGCCTGGTCAACAAGTTCTGGGACCCCCTCTGATCCTCACTCCCACCCCATCCTGTACACATTACATCTAAAGTAACAGTCATATTGTACTATTATATATAATACTATACTATATTATTATCTTTATCACACTTTTTCATGGGGCGCCAGTTCTGCCAGGTGAGTCCTTGCTGCAGCGGTCATGGGTTTGACTTATTGACAGTATATATAATATATATATATACATATACATATATGGTTTCGACTCCAACTAGTGGCCCTTTGCTGCATGTCATCCCCTCTCTATGTCTCCTCCCTTACTATCCAGTAAATTATATATAAAATAATAATATTTTTTTTTCTCACAGTTTTCACTGTTGATTTTCAATTTCTCTATGTATGCTTGTAACCATCTTTCCCCTTCTCTGTGCACCTTGGAAGTAGCTTAAGTTGTGTTAGAAGTCCCTTCTCTTCTTCTACATAACCTCAATATCATGACATTTTACAGCCACAGTCAATATTGTGTGGGTTTCTCACTAATTGCATTATTTCCATTATAATAATCCAACAATTTAGCAGAAGACACATGATAGTGGATGACAAAGTGATACAGTAACCTTCTTTGCCTCTGTTGAGGGCTTCAAATTAGAGCTGTAGTTTAGTATGAAGTTTATTTTCACAGACTAGAGAGTGTATAGATGTTGAGTGAATACCTCCTATCCAGGTTAGAAGCTTTTACAGCTGCAAACACACGCGTCTTCAGGGTCAGTCCTGCCATGGGGATGGACAGCTGCTGAATGTATGATGAGTCCTGTAAATGCACCACAAGAGTATTTCAGCACATTTCCTGACATCCTGTTGAGAGTGATTTGTTCAGTTTCACTACAGTTCATAAATATCCAAGATCTTTTTTCCGTAGAATTCCGTAGCTTAGGAGAGTGGTTCCAAACCTGGGGATCAGGACACCCACAAGGGATTGCCAAAACTTCTTGGGGGGGGCTCACAAGGCCTTCTTGATGCGTGTAACAAAACTAAATAAAAATATACACAGTAGGACTATATCTCTGAAGAGAAAGAAAATGAAATAATCTGCTCAAAATTTTCATTTTACACATTCCACTGTTTCAGTTCACTGTTTGGTTTTATTGTGCAGTTGTCAAAATAATATTAAATATCTATAAAATATGTCACTTAGTCAGGGGTCATCAGCTTACTCAATGATAGAAAAGGGCTCTGGCTGTTGGCAGTTCAATGTCGAAGCATCCTTGAGCAAGAAACTGAACTCCAATTTGCTGACGAAATGAGTGTGTGCAAATGGGATTAGTTAGTTTCTCATGAGTAGTTGGCACCTTGCATGTTAGCCTCTGCCATCAGTGTATGGATGTGTGTGAATGTCACCTGTAGTGTAAAGAGCTTTGAGTGGTCAGAAGACTAAAGGTGCTATAATAAGTAACTATAACTAATATAAGTGCAGTCAATTTATTGGTTTGACTTCAGTAAATTTAGCACAAGGTTTGAAATGAATTGAGGATAATTGAGTATAATCACCTCCAATTACAGGATTAAAGGTCATTTTGCTTGAGCTGCATAAAAGGCTTTTTCAGTCATTGGTGTCTTTTACTGTCTCAAACGGGTATCCTCATTCTCAGTAAAGACTGGAATTGCAGATGTAAAAGGTGCAGATCAACTCCACACATTTTGGCGTGTAGCTTTGTCTCCAGTGCAGCAGTCTCAGCTCAGAGTGCAGCAAAATAACAGATTTTGAATGTGATGTGAACTTACATTGTAAAGCAGCAGATTCAACGTGCTGACGAAGGTACCGTTGCTGTCCTTCACTGATATCGCAGCTGCTGACCTTCAATGAAGATCAAAGCAAAGCAAACAGATGTGGATTTACTAATATTCACAATACCGTTGAAGAAGAACACACGTGCTGCACCTTAAAAGGAGTCCTCTTTCGCTACTGTATGTGGTTTATACACAATGTCTTTACACCATATAAATCATACAGTGCAGAGTCTGGACGAGCTTTTATAGTCTTTAACTTTGACTTCTAATCAGTAACTTGAATTTAGCCTTCCTATATACATCTGTTCTGAAAAATTACTTATTCTTCCATCAGATCCATTGACTGGTTGTGTGAATTTTAGATAAAGGACGTGGACAGAATAACTGGATGATAATAATATAAAAAAGCCCTGAAACCTTTCTGAAGTTGAGAAAGTTCCAATTTGGTGACCCTGCGTCATGTTGAGTAAACTCTGTCGTAATTTTTTATCCCGCTTCTTGTGGTGTCTCTGAATACATTACCCTTTGTTGGAAATTCTTTATTAGGAATAACCCCTTGAGATGTACCATCTTGTT